AACATATAATAATAATAATAATTTATGATGATAATTAAAAAAAAATATCTAACAAATATAATGTACGTTTTTATAACAATATTTAATAGTTCTCTATGCGTTCTCTAGATTCACTTCTTTGACATCGTATTATTTTATTTGAAGGGAAACATTTACAGAGAGAGAAACGGCGCTCTTACATGGTAGAAATCGTATTCTTAGGCGTATGTATGTCTAATTGGAATTCGACTTCTCTCGATGGCACTTGAGTTACCGGTATCACCGCTCGTGCTCGCCGGGACGATGCTTTTCGGACGTATGGTGGTCATCGCCGCCCGCGGCATGAAATCCCGCGGACCCGCGTGCGTATCGGATCCCCGAGAAAGATTTCTCCAGTTTCCGTTGACCCACTGACACTGAATTATCATTTGTGTGTGCACGCGCGCGCGCGCGCGCGTGCGTGTGTGTGTGTGTGTGTGGTGCGCGCGCGCGCGCGCTTTATGTGTTGACCTCTTGCAGTACGTACAACGGAAAGCTGTCGGATCTGCCATCTGTGCCTGTGTGTTTTATTTCGTAGGACGGCGATGTCATATATTACATTGTCGTACCGTACACGGTGGACCATTATTAAGACTGCCATCAGATAATCTTGCATGAAAATAAATAATTGCATAGTCTTCTTAAAGCTCATATATCGTTCGGTATTACCATAAATTTTGAAAGGAAGAAGAGAAACACGCACGGTATTTTATTCAACAATTTAAATAATGTTTAAAAATACAACACTTTTCATATTACATTCTATCATTTCTTTGTAATCAATCTTACGCTTTGATTAGAATTTTTTTCTATATAGATAAATCTAGATAAATAAATGAATGAAAAAGATAATATGTAAAATGATGTACTAATTTTTTCTGGTTATTTTAAAAGAATTTAAAAAAAATGAATTATAAAAAATTAATGAGTGGTCGACAAGATTTCAGAATTTTAAGAGAAGTGAAATGCCATCTTTCAATGATTGTATTATTCTTTCTTCTTAATTATATTATCTTGTATTTATTATCTAATCAATACAAGTAGCAATACAGTAAAACATACATACTCTTTATTTCATACGTATTTTTTGTCTTTTTCTTTGTATATATTCTTTTCTCTGCAGTCTACATCTGAAGACATCACGCGAAATTGATTTTTGCGCACTAAATGTTTCTTTGGGAGATTGGAATTGGAATTTCCGATTTCAGGCCTTACTCGCGTTTGTCTTTAATTTGACATATAACAATAATATGATTATACTATTTTATTATTTTTTCATATGTAGAATTATGTCTTCGCATTGAAGACACATAGCAAAAAATATAAAACTTTAAATATGCTTAGCTTCAATAGTAGTATTTTTATTAAATTTAATAACATTATCAATCTGTGTTTCCAAATTTTTTATATCTTTTTAAAATCACACACATACACACATACACATATACATGCCTTGAAAAAAAAAGACTTGTGCAAAGCGGCTACTCTCTCTTCATCTCAAGCTGGCCCAGCGAGCCTGCGGATACAGGAAGGAGAGGAAAAATGTGAGAGAAATTTTTTTCTTAATCTTAACACTTAGGAGAGCTTAAGAAAATTCATAATCTATCATCTGATTTCGATTAACCTGTAGATGTCCATTGAACAGGGAGACAACTATACATTTTACAGGTTACTAATGTGTGTTTATTGTTGAAAGCGTCAAGACAGCGATTCTCAATCACATATATAGCTGCATACGTGTCTCTATAATAATCTTCCGAGAGAATTATCTTTCGAGATGTGATTTGAAGTACATTCTCTCACGTACCTATCGTTACTTCGCGAGTAGGCGACATATAAGAATTTGTAGAAAAGAGCCCTACGGCCAATGAAACGTTCTTCATGCAAATGAACTTTTCCTCGGTGATCATTTATCAGAGACATATCCGGTGAACCATATGGCCGTAAAAGATTGGATTATGCTTTCTCGTAAATCTGATATTTTATGAAATCTCTATTAAAGCGCGCAAAATTTCGCATTCGCATTTTACCCGAGACTCCATTATCTTATTACGGATTTCCTTTAAAATTGATTCCAAATATCGAACCATTCGATAATATAATATTGATTATTTAAATACTTTTATATATTTGCTATTTTATATTTTTACGGATTTTTTATGAAGGCTATTTATTAAAAAAACTTAATTTTTTATGAATGTTATAGATTTTTTTAGTGCCATCACTTACTGAAACGAATCATAAAAATTATTTTATTTTAACTTGTGCAAAATGTAATTCGATTAGAGTAGTTCGAAGTCAGTATGAAAGTCGGATCAATCCTTATTGTCCGTGTGTAAGATCGAGCCTGAAATGAACACCGGTCGTAGCGGGCGCAAGCAGATTCTCGTGTCGAGAATGTAGCGAATTTTTCAGTCGGGTTGGTCTTGATCTTTTTTTCTCTTTTCTTTCTCGTTTCCCCTCACAGAGAAAGTTCATACCTGCAAACATTTATGGTGTAGTTGTACGCCATATATTTTCACGAATACGACAGATGATCCCGATACATTTTTTGCACACTTTTTCTTTTACATTATATAATCTTTTCAAAGACTTTTCATAGACTAGACTATCATACAAGAAATTGTTATCTACAATGAAAAATGTATTAACTCATAAATTTATTCAAAAATTTTTGTGATTTTTATTGACTACGCTATTAAAATATTATTTTATTAAAATGTTCATATTTTGTTATAATATATGGGCTAATATTTTTTTCTTGATAAATTATAATGGCGTCACTATTAATAGAAATTTACTTTTTATATTTAATTTAGCAATGTGTTTATTATGTTGTATTAAAAAATCTAAAAAATATTTTAGTTTTAACAAGTTTAGATATCTTCCAAGCAACTTTTTAGAAAAATATAAGTAAAAAAGAGAAAACATTTATAATTTTATTGCATTGCTCAATCATCTTTGTAAAACTATTTCAATAGAATGAAAAAAATGATAAAAATGATCTCTATTTTGGTTTCAGAAGCAGCCTGGTACTGCTGTGTATATTGGTAATCGTTGTGCCAGCACTTTTGTCGACAGTCAGCCAATTCGATATTTCCGGTAAGCGCATTTTATCGCAAAAATAAGGCATTACGTCTTGCGTTAATACATTACCCATTCATCCCGTACGCCATTCTTAGCGAAGTGACGCTAATACCCTGCGGCCTGATTTCGCCATGGACTTGCATCGCCGTAACATTTTCAATCCGTATTCGCGACATCCTTGCAAATTATTTAACAGTCTTGAAAGAAGAACTTCGCACGCTTAAAGTATCATTTTCTTTAACGTATAATGTTGCATTCGTCAAGAAAATTAAGCCGGACATTCTATGACACCGAGAATGATTTATGACGTATAGAGATAACGATAATTATAGTTAATGTATGCATGCAGAAAATATGGAATCTATTAGGCGTATATATTTACTGAAATGAAATGATATATTTAATAAAATCTTACTATGTTGTTTGCAAACGCAAATATATGTAACATTTGCATTTTTAATGATAGAAAAATAACAATTGTAGAAGAAATTTTAAAACTTCATGGAAAAATTTAGAAGAGATATGCATATTAATGTTTTGTTGCATAATTATTTTTTAAATCTTTTTACCAATAGGATATACGCATAATAACGTAACGTATAAAAATAGTATATTTCATTTATTTGTTCTAAAAATATATTATTGTGACATTTTGATGATTTATTACACTTGGATAAATGTAATATCAATTATGTCATCTTTGGACAGAAACATTTACACAGAATAATACAAGAAAACGTGTATTGATTAGCCTTACAATTCTGAGAAATTGCTTGGCATTTTTCAAGATATATCTGTCAAATTGATCTTCTGAAGATTACGAATATATGATTAACGAAATAGCAATCTATAATTCTTTTATCGGCTTTTGATTGAATATAATCCTCATGAAAGTTTTATAAAGAAAAAAAATCTTCGATACATATATGTTGTATTACACGTGTATTGCGCTCTCTCTCTCTCTCT